TTCCAGATTCATGTATCTTTCTTCTTGATATTTCCATGTGTTAATAGGCATCCCGAAAGTAACATCTCCAAAGCTGAATTTCTTATCTCCCACCACACCCAGCCTGCCCCTCCCAGTTTCTCAGGCCCCAAATGCTGGGAGTCACTCTTGGCTCCCCTTTCTCTCACTCCCTCCATCAGCTGACTCAACAAATCTGTGTGCCATGCAGACACCTCACCCTGCCACTGCTGTCACTTTTCCCAAGTCACGATTGTCTCACTTGTAGTATTTTACTAGACAACCCCTCTTGCTCCCCTACAATCTATTCTCAAAACAGAAGCTAAAGTGAGCCTTTAAAAACAGAAGTCGATAAACAACAGGGTCCTATTGTAGAGCACCCGGAACTATATTCAGTACCCTGGGATAAACCACAGTGGAAAAGAATATGAAAAAGAATGTATACATACATGTATAACTGAGTCACTTTGCTGTACAGCAGAAACTAACACAACATCGTGAATAAGCTATACTTCAATAAATTATCAATAAAAAGAAACAGAAGTCAAATCATGTTTCTTCTCTGCTTAAAACCTACCAATAGCTCCCATCTCAGTAAAAGCCAAAATTCTTACATTGCCCTTGAAATCCAGTTTGGACTTAAGCCGCTGAAGGCCACAATTTGGCATCCTCTTACCTCTGATCTCATTTCCTACTTTCCCCTCCGACTCTCCTTTCAGTTCTTAGAATGTGGTTCAGTTCTTAGAATGTCTCCTGTCTCAGAATGACTTCTGCCCTGGTCTCTGCCTGGGATGCCCTTCTCCCAGGGAAAGGACATTTCTTGCTCTCTCACCTCCTTCACATCTTTGCTCAGTTTACTTTTCAGGGCCCCTCCCCCCTGTCCTATTGAAACAGAAATCCCTTTCCCTATCCTCAGCACTCCCTAATTAATTCCCTCACTGCTTCATTTTTTCCCATATTTATTCTACCTGGTACAGTATATATTTTATTTATTACTATTTTCTGTCTCCTCTTCCTAAGAACAAGGATTTTTTCTTGCTTTGCTCAGCAGCTGGCACATAGTCAGTACACAGTATTTTTGATGTGTGAATGCTGTTTATGATGCACTTATATTCTCTGCCTCAATGTTCTTTAATTAATTTTTGGCTGCGTTGGGTCTTCATTGCTGCACGTGGACTTCTTCTCTAGTTGTGGTGAGCGGGGGCTACTCTTCATTGCTGTGCGTGGGCTTCTCATTGCTGTGGCTTCTCTTGTTGGGAGCATGGGCTCTAGGCACACGGGCTTCAGTAGTTGTGGTGCATGGGCTCAGTAGTTGTGGCTTGCAGGCTCTAGAGCACAGGCTCAGTAGTTGTGGTGCACAGGCTTAGCTGCTCCACAGCATGTGAGATCTTCCAGGACCAGGGATTGAACCCGTGTCCCCTGCATTGGCAGGTGGATTCTTAACCCCTGTGCCACCAGGGAAGTCCTGCCTCAGTGTTTAAGTGTCACTAGCTTCATGGGTGTTTGGGTATGTATCACTGAGGAAGGTGAAGCTAATTGAATAGACAGACTGTCCACTCACTCAGACTGTTGTAAGGGAGCCAAAAGCACAGATGGGAATTCTGGAGGTTCAGGTCTCAGTTGCAGCCTTGGTCCCAATCAGCCATGTGACGTTGGGAAATCATTTTTCCTTTCGGGTCCTCTATTTACTCATCTGCCAAAAGGAGATTATTGCTTTACATGGCCTCACAGGATTTTAGAGAAAGCAAAGTTAAAGATGAAGTGTTGAGTAGGAAACGGTGTGTCTTATTAATTTCTCTATTACAGACAAAGATATACTTACCTGGCATTTTATACTTTTTAAGAGCAATGAGGAGACCTGGAATCAAACCCCAGTGTTCTTTTAGGGACCTTGGAAGATTCAGGTTTGCTGTGTTAAGCCCTCAGACATCAGTAATTTGAGAGTGAAAGCTCTTGGTGTCAGCCTGTTTTTTCTCCTGTGAATCCTCCCTCTTACATGTAAATTGTTGATTTTCAGCACCCTTGTCCAAACCAGTGACTAGTCAGTGCCCATGGGTGCCCAGCTCCCGTGGAAGTTTGTTTGCTGATCACTTGTGTTTATGTGTGGTTGGTGAGCTTTCCCTCGGCCCATCTGTAACCCAGAAGCTTGGTTTCCTCACTTGTAAAATGTGGTTAGTAATCACTTGCTGTTTATTTTGATGGATTCAATGACATAGCAGTAATTTACATAAAGCAGTAGTACAATGCCTGGCATATCTTAAAGCCGCCAAAATGCTTCCTATAAATGGAGAATGCATTGAGCTGCCCCTGCTAGGGTCACTTTCTAAGACAGTTCTTTCACCATGTTACTACTCCTAGTTGAGGACCTGAAACAGTGTGGATTTCTCTGTTTTCAAAATATTCCCCATCCTACTGAAAGCAGGGTCTCAAAGACATATTTGTACACTTATGTTCATAGCAGCATTATTCACAGTAGCCAAAAGGTACAAGTAACCCAAGGGTCCATTGTGGAATATATATATATGTATACCTCATACATATACATACACACAATGGAATATTATTTAGCCTTAAATAGGAGGGAAATCCTGACACTTGCTTCAACCTGGAAGAACCTTGAGGACATTATGCTCAGTGAAATAAGCCAGTCACAAAAGGACCATGATTCCAGTTACACGAGGAACCTGAATAGTCAAATTTATAGAGACCGAAAGTAGAAGGGTGGTTGCCAGGGGCTGGGAGGAGGCGGAATGTTTAATGGGTAAAGAATTCCAGTTTCCTACAGTGAAAAGAGTTCTGAAGATGGTTGCACAGCTATGTGAATGTACTTAACTGTACACTTAAAAATGGTTATGTGCACTTTGCCACAATCAAATATTTAAAATTCCCCATCCTATTTATTGAACCTTACTTTTCACTTGTCCTTTTTTTCTTTCTTTCCCCATTTCAGTTAGACTGCTCTCTTCATTGTACTCCCAGTATGATATCCACTTCCTCTTGAGCCCTTGCTCCACGCAATCTTCTCTGGAATGCTCTTTCATCATCACCCATTCATTTTCAAAAGGCCGCTTGTGCTTTCGCCCCAAAGATGTCCCCTTTTCTAGATCCAACCGGGAGCCACATCCTCCTTGTCATCGCTACTCCTTCAGACTACAGTCCGCTGCCTTCCCTGCACTCCACAGAGGAGTCTACACGGGGCTTTGTTTTAGCTGGGTGTCTCCAACCACAACATCTAAGCCTCCGACTATCAGGTGTAGGATCTCACAGGTCCCTCAACACACGACACCCCCCACTAGCAGGAACTCCGATACAAGAATCGAGACGGAGGGAAGCCAATTCACACTTTAAGAGTGTTTTCCACGGAGCAGTGTGTAATCTCACGAAAGCTTTCAACGTCAAATTACTCGCGAGCGCAGGGGCCAAAGGCGGAACGACTGTGGGGCCTCCGGGGTCCTCAAAAGGAGTCCTGTAACTTGCACAGCTTTTAACCCTCCGAAACACTCCCATACGTCTTCCAAGAGCAACGCGACGGCGGGACACAAGCAGCCTCATCTGTGCAGCTGCTAGAAGAAGAAAGTCTCAAGGGTCTCCGAGGCCTCCACGGAGCTGGCTCGGCTTCAAAAATGGAAAAGAACCGTTAAAAAGATGCGCTTCCCGCTCCAGCACCCGCGCCTCCTCGAGAGTGGAAGGGGGAGCCGAGGTACGGGAAGTCGCAGGGCACAATTTCCTTCGCCCCGGATGCCCGGCCGGAGGGCGACGCGCGTAACCCAGAAGTGAAAGGCCGGTTCCTTCAGGTATTAGACACCCCCCGCCACAACCGGAGGAAGTTCCGGCCGGACGACTTTTACCCAGGCTTTCTTGGTTCCTCCTGAGCTCTACGCTCCCTGCTTTCTGGTGCCCTACTGCCATGGCCGCTTAGATCCGACCCTCCCCGCCTTGCCTGAGTTTTGCCTCAACTTCTCGGGGTGGGGGGCCCAACTCCATTCTGGCCCCCCTTTCCTTAAAGAACTTTTCCCTACGGGTCCCCATCAGGGCCAATTGACGTTCTCCACGGAGGCAAAAGCTCCTGGAACTTGCAGGTCCCGAAGCCCGGCGCAGCCAGTGCAGCGCCTGCGCGGGGGCGTTACCATAGAAAAGCAGGCGCCTCTCTGGTCTCGGTTTACACTCTCTATGGTCTAGCCGGGTCGTGGCGGTAAGGGGAAAGAAGAGAGACCGCACTGCGCAGGCGCCCTGGGCTTCTAAAAATTTTTTTTTTTTTTTTTTTTTTTTTTTTTTTTTTTTTTTTTCCTCCCCCAACTCAGCCATTGACGTCAAGAGTTACCTCTGCCATTAAATAGTTACACCTTTGCATTTTCCTATTCTTTAGCTTGGCATGTTATTGGCCTTCAGAGAGTGTTTATTTTTACTAATTTTGAATTGAATTATATCATCATTTAGAATCTGGATAACACTTCAATGTTTTGAAAACATTTCATATTTTAAAAAATTTTATTCTTATAAAAACCATATGAGTTAACCCTTACAGGTTAGGTGCCCCCTTTTTCTGGCAAGGAAAAACGAGGCTCTGATGTGTGAATTGACTTAGCCCGAAGTCACACAGTTCTTAGCGGTGGAGCCAAGACTCGTTCCCAGGTCTCTGACTTTGTCCAGTGCTTTTGCCACTGTACTCTGGTGATGGGATATTTGGGGTAGAGGGAGGGAGCAGGTTTAGAAGAAATTCTCTCAGTCACACCATTGTTTTCCTCCTCATTACCCCTGGTTTTCAGGTAATGAGAAGCACTTCCTCCTTCTCTGAGAGCAACAGCTGAATTGTGTAAGAGTTTCACAATGTCGTTTATAACGAGAGCCGCAGGTCTTTTGCAGGTATAACTTTTCATCTTTTATCTAAGCTTCTCCTTTCCTGTATCTGAAGACCTGCAGGAAACGTGTGTGAGGAGAGAGGCGAGGAGGGAGGCAGCTGGGTGGTGGGCTTCTAAAAATTTTTTTTTTTTTTTTTTTTTTTTTTTTTTTTTTTTTAATCCCCGCACCAAGCGCTTAATCTCATTGGGGTGGAGGAGAAGGCGGCGGCCGTCTGGTCTGCATGGGCTACAGGAGCGTCTAACACGGCTGTAAGTCCCCGGTTAGGGCGAGGAGGTGTAGACCCCAGCTCTTCCAGGCCCCAGCCCCCCTCGCAGTGGTGGGCGCCGAGGCTGGGTGGGGGCGAGGTCCAGCGCTGTCATCCGCTCTTGGGTGCACTTTGGGGGGAGGGGGCGGCCCTTAGGTGGGAGCCGGGCGGGGAGCGGGAGGGGAGGGCTGTCTATCCAGCCCGCAGGTCGCTGATCCCAGGCTGCTTTGCAGAGGGAGGGGGGCGGCTGTGGGGTGAGTCCGGCTTTGTGTGTCCCCCTCTCTTCTCCTCTCCCGGACCCCACCCCGGGCCCCCTTCCCGACCCGAGTCTCCCAGGCCGGGTGGGCGAAGCCGCGTTTGAAAAGAGCGGGGCTCGCGAGGGGCGGGGGCGAAGCGGAGAAACCCACCACAACTATAGTCACGGGCGAGTGATGGGTGTGGAGGAAGATCCGGGGGGAACGAAACGGGTCCAGGCGGGCCAGACAAAGCCGAGCGCTGGCCGGGCCGAATGCGCAGGGAGCCCGCGGTCCCTGGGCCCGCAGCGAGCTTCTTCGGAGGCTGGCAAAGCGGACAAGTGCTGAGTTAAGCCTTGTGCAGCCTCCTCAACTTGCCTTTGTTGTTCTTCGGTATTGGTAGGGACGCTCTGACGGAGAGGAGTGTGTGCTCTTGCACGTTAGCCTGGTTGGCTACAATGGAGCTAATCGCATTTTGCTTTCCCGTTTTCCGAGCCGCTCGGATGAGTCTGGGGTTTTCCAGAGTCTCACTTATTACATAATTTTTTTTAAAATACTTGTTTTTACTCCAAAAATTAAAAACAAAAATTAGATGGAGCCTTGAAGCGTGTTTTGTTGCATCTGGGTGAGTTTCTCTGTCTTGGGGTTCGTTCATTAACTGCTGGCCATCCGTAGAACCTGTGAGCTCTTTAAACATGGTACTTTGATTTGTAGATGTGGCGTCCAGAGCTTTAGATTCTCTAGTCCTTTGGGAGGCAGTGATGCAGAAGAATCAGAAGCGAGAAATAGTTGCCTGCTGCCATGTGCCTTGCACCCTATTCGGGGACCAGAGTCCGGTATAAATGATGGCTTTAGAAATTGTTGCTTTTATTACTATTATTGTGACATTTGCCGTGCCCTTGATATGAGGAATCCTGGACCGTGGGCTCCCTTTGCTCATCCAAAGCAAAGGGAGCAGTGGAGAGTAGTAACATTGCTGCAGAGACCATATAGATAAGAGTTACTGAACATTATTTATCTTCTCCATTTGCTAAGAAAGATTTAAATTTTGGTGAGCTGTTTGTTTATCCATTTTTGTAAGATTGTGTAATTGCACCTGTTTTGGCAATTGTTACTCAGATCTCAGTTTCTATAATTCATAGTTTATCAGCTAACGTGTAGCAGTTTCAGATTTCTAAAGTTTTAATTTTTGTTGAGGAGTTTTCAGCCGTAGTTTTATATTCTCCCAGCTAAGGTTAAGCGGAGTCAGAAATCCTTTGAAGAGACTGTTGGTGGTGGAGGTGTCATATATTTTATATCCATGTCACAATTTAAGCGGTAGTAAGTAGGGAAAAGGCCTTCACACCTTAAATCAGTGTTAGAACTGAAAACCTTGATCTCCTGGTGTGCCAGGAATTTGGCCACAGACTCAACTTTACATAAAAGAGGTAGGCATTTTTTTGTACTAACAGGAGGCAAAAATCTGAAGCTTGGTTTTTTATGCTTCAGTAACTACTGCGATAGAATCTCTTAAGTGTAGTTCAGATGATGGGAACTTGCTTTTTATAGAGCAAGATTTCAGATCCTTAAAATAGTTTGACAGGGATGTTGAGAAATGAGTGGCCAGAAGACCATTAAGTTTATCATTCAGATGTGTTATATTTTGTTCATTGGTCTGGGATCTTAGATTTTTTTCCTTCAGTCCCTTGTTAATTCTTTTTTTTAGGTGGATTAATCTCACAGTTCATAAATTGGGTGAGATAGTTTTTTGGACCTGAGACATAAATTAATTTTTTCAGACTCCATTTATTCTTAACAGTCTTCTACTTATAAAGTTGTAGCTTTTTAGATTGGTAGATAGTACTTTTTATTTCATAGTACTGTTGGTAAATGTTATAATCGTTTAAGGGATCGTAAATGTTAGGCTCAGAGCTGAGTTTTGATAAGAGTTTTGATAACTGCAAGTATGGTTGTCAAATAGTGTAAAGAATAGACAGTAGCAGAAACTAACAAATGTTTAAAGACAGAATCACTGATGATTCAGTCTTTGGTTCGTGAAATGTAATTTAAGAAAGTAAACTAAGCTTTCTTTACCCAGTGCAACCAGGTCGGCATCCATAAAGAGTGTGTGTGTTTGGCTGACTGACCTCTGAAAGCCTTTTCTTTTTAGCACCAGAATTTCCCGAGTGTTTCTAGCCGGGTCTTCGTCACACCAGGGCTTTCCCGCCTCCCTTATGCTCAGACCATTACTGCCATGCTGAATGCATTTCTTCCCCAGATTCTTACGGCAGCCGCAGTCCACTTCCCCACAAGGATCCCTAAAGAGGTAGCTCAGATGTGTTCAAAGGGCAGCATTGCTTCCATAACACCTTTGTTTACTTTTCTCTTGTTTCTTGCCTGGAATTCTCCTGCCTCCTTGCTGGTCCCTGTGGTATCAATTATCTGCCTCCTTGGAAGATTCACTCTGGTGATTTACTTTTCTCTAGATCCTTGAGGGTTCTGGGAGTTTGTAGAACACTTTGTGCTAGCTCTGTGCTTAGATGACTGCACTGGTGTAACTAGTCACTGTAGAATGTGTGAAGGAATAAAGGAATGTATCGTAACTTAGAGTAACAGAATTTGAGCCTTGGAAGAGCTCTTAGAGGTCCCATAGTCCCACATCCTGCCTTTTATCTAGGATATTTTTGGTCTTTAGCCACAAACTGCAGGCACGCTTTCCTGTCTCTGGACAGGTCTTAGTTGCTAGAAAGGTATTTTAGACTGTCTCCAAAACTGCCCCTCCCCTTTTACCTGTTGATCTTAGTTGTACCTCCGGAAGCAACATGAATCACGTCTGTTTCTTTTCTATGAAAGAGCCTTTCATTTCCCAGGACAGTCATGAGGCCTTCTCTAGATTTATTGATTAATTTAGTAAACGCTTTCTTTAGTTAGATACCAGGGTATAACTGTACCACGAGGGTACAGCTGAAAAGACATACCCGGTCCCTGTACTTCAAGGGCTTACTCACCATCTAATAGAGAAGACAGACAAAACGGTTACGAATTGGTGCTGGCAATGCTGAAGTATGTAAACAGCCCTTAGACCCTTTGTCCCCTCATGATTTAACCTGATTTCACCACGCTCTCTTGAGACAACTTGGTTTTGTTAGGGTCCTTTAAATGCGATGTTTGAAATAAAGCAGAATTTATTTATACTGACCAGAGTATACAGTTACTGCTGTATGTTAGGAAACTGTATCAAGGATTTTCAAACTTTGTTGTGCTTTCTGGCTCTGCCACTTACTAGCCCTGTGACTTTGGGCCATGGGACAGTGAAATCATCTCTTTGTGTTTCAGTGATTAGCTCTATAAAGGGAGGGTGGAGGGAGGGCAATGTTAATAGTAGTGTCTACTTATAGGACTGTGTGAGGATCAAGTGAGATAATATATGTAAGATGCTGAGAACAGTGACTGGTGTATACTGAGTGGGTATATGGAATTCCTGTCATGTATGCATGGTGGCAGTTAATATTAATAACAACGTAATAATAATAGCAGTAATCAGGTCACCAGAATCACTTGGAGAGCTTCTTAAAATACAAATGGCCTGGTCTTATTTATCCCCAGCCACCCAGAGATTTTGGTCAGTTCAGTCTGCGTGGGGTCTGGGCAGCCATAGTTTTTATTTATTTATTTTTTTGTTTATTTATTTATTTATGGCTGCGTTGGGTCTTTGTCGCTACACGCAGGCTTTCTCTAGTTGCGGCGAGCGGGGGCTACTCTTCGTTGCGGTGGCTTCTCTTGTTGCGGAGCATGGGCTCTAGGTGCACAGGCTTCAGTAGTTGTGGCTTGCGGGCTCTAGGCGTGCAGGCTCACTAGTTGTGGTGCACGGGCTTAGTTGCTCCGTGGCGTGTGGGATCTTCCCAGACCAGGGCTCGAACCCGTGTCCCCTGCATTGGCAGGCGGATTCTTAACCAGTGTGCCACCAGGGAAGCCTGTGGGCAGCCATAGTTTTAACAATCCCCAGGTAATTCTTAAAAACCCAGCTTGCGAATCCTGCATTCTTTATTAATTTTGTCAGTGATTACATTTGCTTTTACGAATTAAAAAAAATGACCAAGAAGTAGACGAATAGATTCTCCTGAAAGATTTGAACATCCGGATAAAGGGACAGGCCTGGCCCCAGACCCTGGGTCCCTTGGGTGGCATATCCGCTTATTATTGGTTTGGAGTGTACCTCCTAAACACGGTTACCCTTGTTTGTAGCTGCATGTGTATGAACGTCTTTATAATACTAATAGCCAGATTCAAGGGAACAAACCCTGGATTTTCAAAGCACTTGTACATTCATAATCTTTGTTTCCTTCAAAATCCTGTGAGGTAGGCAGAGAAGATACCATCATTATCCTATCAATTTACAGATGAGAACCCAAGACCTGCAAGTTAAATCCCAGTACATGATAGAACTAGGATGGGAACTGGGCCTTCTGTTTCTCGCCTAATGTTGTTTTCATGTAAATTGTCTCCTAGCTACATGAGTTTGTTACCTTATATTGAAGTTGTGGTTCGAAGTCCTCTGATCTTTTGCCATGTGAATAGCTGCCAAACCAGATTTCCTCCTTTCTTTTAGTGTGTTTATACTTGCTTTTTAAAAAATGTAAATTTAAGTTTAATAGTTACCATATCTGGGGGCTGCAGGTGGTGGTGGGATGAATTGGGAGATTGGGATTGATATTTATACACTAATATGTATAAAATAGGTAACTAATAAGAACTTGCTGTATAAAAAAAATAAAATAAAATTCAAATAAAA